TAAAAATACTACTGTACTAAGTGAAGAAGAAGTTAATGCAAGAGTCAGTATATTAGGTGAAGCATATGTAACAACTTCTTTAATTGACATCAACCAATTATTAGATATGGTAGATCGTGAAATTATTCCTACTGTTATGGACGTATTAGCTAATGAAAAAAAACAAGCTCAGATTATTGCCTCATCATTTATTAATAAGAGAATTGAAAATATGTTGGAATGGTTTAATAAAATGCTCTTCTTTGTTGATCTCTTAAAAGAAAAAAGAGATAAAATCATAAATTCATCATGTGTCGTTGAGGCAAATGAAGCAATGAATACTATCAATGATGTAAGATTTTATATCGATAAACTTGAAGGCTTAATTCCACAGAAACAATGGCCTTATCCATCTTATGAAACTTTATGGAATGCTCATTGTTAACTTATTTTCAACAATAATCAATTATCGTTTAAGTCTTAGTAGTTAATAATTATTTCTATTATCTTTGTTTCTTTGAGTTTCTTATTTCAAAGAGTTTTTCCCTTTCCTTAACTCTTTCAATAATTTCATTAGCAGTTAAAGTAAGACCACTGTCTATTTCTTGATAAATTTTCTTTTCAATAGCATCTTTATAATATTCTTTTCCAACACCATTTTCACATTTACCATGAACAACAACATCAATATGCATTTTCTCGATCATTTCACTTGTTACTCCACGGGGAGCGCCAATGACAAGATTATCAATATATCTACAAGCCAATAAACTCATGACACGTTCACCAATATTAAGAATTGGGTAATTCATGCCTTTGTATTCATTAATTGTATGATCTTCATAAATTCCAACTATAAGGTATGTGCCAAGTTCATGTGCTTTCCTAAATAACTCATAATGTCCTGCATGAAGTAAATCAAAACTACCATCAATATAAATGACTTTGTCTTGAGGAGTTCTTTCTTTTTTAATATTACTAAACAATCTAATTTTATCAATTGATAAATTAGCATGTTTAAAACCTTCCCAGTGTTCTTTTGATTGTGGATTCATCATCCTATAAATAATATCTGTGGTTGATACTCCATCAGTTCTAGGAACTATTTTCATCATTCCAGCATCAATGATTGCTTGATAACTATTGTTTCCTGTTGTTGCATTTAATGAAATATCATCTCCATGAACTACATAATCAATATGAAGGTCCTTCATCATAAATAACTCAGTATCCCAATATGGAATTCCATCAACTACTTCATCTACCCATTGGCATGACCTTACTGCAATATTACGTTCTTCTTCTTTCATTACAGTTGGTCCTTTGTGTTGTTCAATAATTTCATTGTTCACAATTCCTAGAACTAACACACACTTATAATCGAATGCAGCACATGCTTGTCTAATAACATTTGCATGACCCCAATGGAACATGTCATAACACCCATCAACATAAATCCGAGGAAGGTTTTTATCCTTATTATGGAAGATCAAATGGTGTTTGTAATCCTTTGTTGTCATGCCAAAAATTTATAATTCGAGTTTCCTTTTTAGTTTTTTTCAGTTCTTTTCATAAACTCCATTTTTATTATTCTTTTTTTAGATTGAACGATATATTTTATTATGACAATCTTTTTTTATAAATAAATCTTTTTTCATTTTATTATTCAATTACAAATTTACCAAATCCTTTTTATAATTTTCTTTTATAATTAGTTAAGAATTATTAAATGGTATTTATTACTAATGTACTATTATTTCTTAATATTGAAAACACTCTAAGTATTTAAAAATTCTATGGGTTTTATGAACTACCACAATTAACAAACACTATTTTGTTATATGACTAATAAAATAATTAACTTTTTTTTGAAACTGTTATCTTAACTAAAAATTAATAAGAAAGAATTTTTATTACCTCAAGACTTATTTGAAATTTGGTTTAAAAATTAATTTTTGATACATTCTGCTTGTTATTAGAATAGATGAAGAATACTTTAATCTAAAATTAATTTAGAATTTATTAAAAATTACTAAATTAATATAGATAACATTATTCAAAAAATATTAAAATCATTACTTCCTGTTTAATGAAAGAGATAATGTTGTGGTTTAAGAATAACAGAATTAATAGAAGTTTTTGTACTGAAATTTATTATTACTATTAACTTTATATGCTAAAAAAACGTTATCATAACAAAAAATATCCACAGAGGATTTAACCAACAACAAAACAATCAACTCTAAAAATATTAATACAGTCTCTAAGAAATCTTTAAGAATCAAAGATTTAAAAATAGTTTTAAAAACAAAAAAGGATATTAAAAAGAGCAAAACCAATTATAATAACAATGGCAAGAAGAAAGAAACAAAAAGTAAACTGAATAAGTCTCATCTTTAATGATTTAAATACTAGTTTTTGTTTTGATAAAACATCAATTAAGATGATCTTAGAATAAATAAAAAGATCCAAGAAGAAAAGGAAAAAGGGAATAATAAAAAGAACTATAAACCAATAAAAAAACTAGAAAAAACTAAAAAAGATAATAAAACAAGAAAAATATGATAGAACTAAAACGAAGCCAGTATGTCATTCCATCACCTTATAGAAGAACAACATGGCAAGGACTACCTCTTGCCCAACTACCTAAAAGAATTGAAACAAAACCATTATCTAGTGGAATAACACCATCACCATTATCTTTATTAAAAAAAGAAGATGTTGATGAAGTGAATGAAAAAAAAGAACCAAGACCATCAAATGTTAATGTTACTATTACACAAGAAACAGTATTTGTAGCTGTAAAAGATAGAACAGGAAAATATTATGGATATGCTATGAATGTTAATGATATTGGAACTTCTATAATTGAGACATGTAAAAGTAATGTTTATATTAAAGGAGATTATGCATTAGTATTACCTAATTTAAGTTATAGGGTGTTTGATGAAGACTCTCGTAAACCACTTAAAGACTTAAAATTTGTACAAGGATGTCAATATCATGGTATAGTTCCATACTTTTTCCTTGTAGAAAGAAAGGCAGTTATTCAATACGCATCAGTAGAATCAGTTGGAGAATATTTATTACAATCAACATTAAAATATGAAATTATTGGTAATAACTTTGTTGGATTATGTAGAAATATTGGAGATGAATTTTATAAATTTAGAAGAGCTTTAGCAACTGTTTGTGGTAAAGAAGAAGAAAATAAAAAGGATTTAGATATATATTTATCAGAAGAAAATGAATATGTTTATTGTGGTAATGAACCTCCTATTCAAGATCTTACAAAAAAATTAATTATGAAAGGGTATTTATTTGAACAAAAAATGGATAAAACAATTTCTCATTTACCTACTGATACTGTTGAAAATGTTATTTCTGCTTTATTTACTAAATTCACTACTACTAATCAAGCTGCATTTGCTGCTACAGAAAAAGCTGAAGATTTTGTTTTAAAAGTAAGAGGATTACATGAATTTTTAATTCCAAAGAAAAAAGATGGTTCGTTATATCAATTATGTGAATTTGATTATATCAGAAGATGTGTTATGAAACATGAAAAGATTGATTTATATCTTGCACCAAGAAAAATGTTACATCAATTTATTGGACCATTAAATCCTATTGACGTTAACTTTACTGGGGTTTATAATTCATTATTATCTCATGACTTATGGGAAAAAGTAGAAACAGAAAAAGCTGGACAAAGTCAAAAAAGTATTGAACGTAATTATTTCATTACATTAAAGAAATTAAGTAATTGTGTTTATTATAAACCATTACCTCAAAAGAAAAATAAAGAAAATAAAGATGATATTCCTGTACAAGAATATCAAAATATTGTTAGTTTTAGAGCTTATGTTACTGCTGCATTATTCCTTGGACCAAGACAATTAGGAAAAATGGTTGTTACACCAGTATTTCAAGTTAATAATAGTATGGCTACATTAGATAATGTAATGGAATTTGATTTACCAATAAAAATTCTTCCAAAAGAAACTAAACTTGTTATTGGAGTATTTCAAACTGAAGAACAGATTGGAGTTAATATCGAACATCTTGAAAAGAAAGAAAAAAATAAAGAAAATCCTATTGGAACTATTAACTGTAAAGTCGTTGATCACAATGGGATGTTACTTATGGGAAATGTTCAATGTGGATTATGGGAATTATCAGCTCCAAATTTCATTTCTATGTGTTCAGAAAATATTGGAGAACGAGCTATTTATCTTACTTTTACATATCCAACATATGATGTACCTGTATTAATGGATGCATTTAATGATGATAATATTAAAAGTGATAATCAAGAAAAAGAGAAATTAACTGCTGAAGAAACAAAGAAATTTAAAGTTGCATTAGAATCAAATCCATTACAAAAATTAACAGAAGACGAAATGAAATTAATTTGGAAATTAAGATATACAGTCAAGAAAACTAAACCAAAAAATCTTTCAAGAGTTGTTGCTGCAGTTGATTTAACTGATGTACATGCAGTTGCAGAATTACATAGATTAATATCTGATTGGCCATTATTAGAACCACAAACAGCTATTGAAATGTTAGACTTTAAATTCCCAGACCAAAGAGTAAGAGATTTTGCTTTAAAATGTCTGGATGCGATGGATGATGCAGAATTAATTATGTTCCTTCCACAATTAATTCAAGCACTTAAATTTGAATTACATCATAATAGTGAATTGGCAATGTTCTTATTAAGAAGAGCATTAAGAAATAAAAATAGAATTGGACATCAATTCTTTTGGTTCTTAAAAGCAGAATTACATGATAATAGAGTTACTGAAAGATATGGATTATTATTAGAAGCATTTGTAGGTGCATGTGGTAAATATCAAATAGAATTATATAATGAAGTTAAATTCCAATTAGATCTTATCGATATTGCTAATCACGTTAAAACACTTGCAACTAAAGATGAACAAAAACAATATATGTTTGAGTCATTAGCTAAATTAAAATATCCTGACAATCAAGCATTACCAATTGATTCTAGAATGAGATTTACAAGACCAGTACCAAATAGTGGAAATGTATTTAGTAGTAAGAAAAAGCCATTACTATTAATACTTCAAAATTATGATCCAGCAGGTGATGACATTAGAGTAATTGAAAAAGTTGGAGATGATTTAAGACAAGATATTTTAACATTACAAATATTACGTATTATGTATACTATGCTTAAAAATGCTGAATTAGATATTAGAATGTTACCATATCAATGTATTGCCACTGGTAATGAAACTGGTATGTTAGAACTTGTTAAAGATTCAGAAACATATGGTAAAATTATTGCAGATGATGGAAGAAGATTAGCAGTTACTAAGAATGATGTGTTAACATTGTGGATGCAAAAACAATGTGCTAGACCAGAAAGTAAAGTTACTTTTGAACAAGCAGTAGAAAATTTTGTTCATTCATGTGCAGGATATTGTGTTGCTACATATTTACTTGGTATTGGAGATAGACATAGTGATAATGTTATGGTAACAAGAAGTGGTGTATTCTTCCATATTGATTTTGGACATTTCCTTGGTAATTTCAAGTCAAAATTCGGAGTAAAGAGAGAAAGAACACCATTTAAATTTACACAACATTATGCTGATTTAATGGGATATAAAGATGGTGTTGAAAGTAAAGATTTTAAAGAGTTTAAAGAATTATGTTCATCTGCATTACTGTCATTAAGAAAACAAGGATCATTATTTATTTATTTGTTTAGATTAATGCTTGCTACTGGTATTCCAGAATTAAAAAATGAAGATGATATTGAATATATGAAAAATGCATTCATGTTTGATGAAGATGATCAACAAGTTAAGAAAAACTTTGACAATATGATTTATCAATGTCTTGATGCATGGTCTCAAACATTAAATGATTTGATCCATGATATTGTCCATTACAAATAAATAAATTTGGTCAAAGAATAAAACAAAAATAAAAAAAGAGAAAAAAAATACTTTTTAAATTAATTTAAAAAGTTTTTCATTTATTTTGAATAAAATTTTGAGGAATTGAATCTTCTGAATAAAATTCTTTTAAATGAGGAGGATTTAAAAAAACTATTTGAGTATTTATATGATGTAAATAAAGATGAGTAATAGATGAAGGTAAAATAAATTGTGTTGAACCATCTTTTTGATGAAGAACAAGATAGTAAAGATTATATAATTGAGATAAATTAAGTTTTTTATATAATTTTCCTGATATATACAATATTAAATGTTGTAATGAAATTATTTGTATAGAATTTCCAAGTTGTAATGAATCTAATTTTAAATAAAGTATATAAGTTGGAAAAATAGTTGAAAATGAAGAATTATTAATGCTAATTTGTGGAAGATAATAATTATATAAAGTTTTAAAATAAGGATTTTGTAAATCATTACAACTAACTGTAATTATTTTTGTAGATAACCATAATAATACTATTTTCATTGCAATATATTTAAAAGTATATGTATATAATATTTCTTTACTATTTAATATAATACAACAACCAAAAAATAAATCTTTCATTTTTACTAATTCTTTTAAATCAGTTATTTTATTAATAAAAATAAATCTTTTTGTATTTTTATTAACACCAATTACACTCTGTTTATAATAATTATAATGTTGATTATTATTAACATTTAAATCATATAAAAACCATTTTTCTAAATTTTTCATTTCTTCTAAACTTCCTAATTGACTTCCAGCTACTTGTTTAATTATTTTTAAATTTTTCATTCTATAAATCACTCGTTTTGCATCAATTGGTTGTTTAATTTCAATCCCAATGATAGTGTCTAAAGACCGAATAGTTTGTAGATAATCTACCTCTTCTTTTGTTGAAATTACTAGTTGAAACAATACAGTTTTATCTAATTGTCTAAGTTGTGTATGAATCTTTTGAACTGAACCTTTTTTCATTTTTTCTTCTTTTTTCTTTAATTGTACTTCAGCAAATCCCCATCTTTTAGAAATTAATTTTATTTTCTCTCTTGTTTGCAATGGAATATACTTCAAAATTATTCCACAAAATAAGCCTTCTAATGAACCCATAAAACTTAAAAAACAAGAACAAATAAAAGAGTTTCCATTAATAAGAGAAAATAAGGGTTTTTAAATAAAAAAAAAGAAAGTTCAATTTTTGAATCTTCTTAAAACAAATGAAGAAAAGTGAATAATATCATTCAGAAGGAACTAATATTCTTTATTTCTTTGAATCTTCAATGATACAAGGTATGAATTATAAACGGTTTCAGTTCATGCTTGGAGGTGCATTTGCTGGTGTAGTTTCTAGAACTGCTGTTGCTCCTCTAGATCGTATGCATACTTTATTGGTTGCTCGATCTGATGAGAGTGGTTCAAAGATGTTAAGAGATTTATTAGCAAATGAAGGAATAATTGGATTATGGAGAGGTAATTTTGTTAATTGTATGAAAGTTGCACCAACCACTGCTGTAAAATTCTTTGTTACTGAGTCATTAAAAAGAATTGCTAAAGACTATTATGCCCGTCGTTCTTTAAAACTACCATTTTCTGTTAATTTTGCTATTGGTGCACTTGGTGCTATTGCTTCAACAATGGTATCACACCCAATTGATGTAATAAGAACTCGAATGACAATAGAAACAACTAAAATTCGTAAATATGATACATTCTTTGGTACTGCCAGTACTATTATAAAAGAAGAAGGTATTTCTGGTTTATATAAAGGACTTGGATTCTCTATCTTAAGTGTCACTCCATTCCAAGCAGTAAATCATGCATGTTTTGATTTTGTTGCACCATTAGTTCCTGAGTGTCAATTAAAGAAACTTTACCAAGGATGTCTATCTTCTTCACTTGCATTTTCTTTATGTTACCCATTAGATGTCGTTAAAAGAAAGTTACTTGCTAAAAAAGCTAATTCAGCTATTGAAGCTATTAACACTATAGCTAAAACTCAAGGAATTAAAGGATTTTATTCTGGATTTGGAGTAGGATTTGTCAAAGTTGTTCCATTAGTTAGCGTTCAATTCTTTGCTTTTGATCAATACAAGAAGTTCTTTAAATTATAATTTAAAGTTCATTCTGTCTTTATTTTATTCTTTTTTATTAAAAATAAATTTTCCTAAATTTATTTTTTGTAATTTTAAATAAATAAATAAATTTTATATTCTTTAATTCATATTTACTTTGAGTGTTGATGTATTTAATTAACATCTGAATATCATTTATACAGTTATTTATTTATTGGTTTTATTTTCTTTTTTTTTATCTTTTATTCTTACTTTCATAAATGATATTTAATTTTGTAATTTCAATTCATTATTAAATATATTTATAGTTATAATGTAAATAAAATTAAAAAAAAAAAGAAAATAGAATCAAAAAAAATTTATTGAACAAAGAGAATAAAATAAATAACAGTGTTTCAAGAAATTTTTCATTGAAGCAAAAGTAGTATTATTTCTTTCGATAATTAAAAAAAATTAATTAATTATTTTATTTAAAAATATTTTTTATAAAATAAAAAGAGTAGATTTTAAATAAAAAAATTACACCTTACTTAACACAAAATAATCAATTCTACATTTTTTTTGTTTTTCTCATTCAAATTTGTATCCACAAGAAGTACAAAAACGTGTCCCTTCTTCAACTTCAGCTTCACAATCAGGACATTTTTTAGTTTTTCCAGGTTGTCCAACAACTGATTTTTTTGAATCAGAATACTTTCCATATAGGGTTAGACTCTCTTCTTCTCTTTTTTGTTTATAATATTTATTAAAACAAATGTTGTGCCAATCTTTTCCATCGGCTTGTTTTCTTTCTGCAAAATACACTGTTTTACCTTTAATTAATTAATATTTTTATTTTATAATTAATCAATATTAAAAACAATATAAAAACTAGATTAACAAACCACACAACGCACACTTCCAAGACATAATTTTTTAGATATTTAAAGTTTCAAGTTGGTGATGTTGTATAAATAGATATCATTTATATATTTATAGAATTAATTATAATATTCTTTTAATTCTTCTTTAGATAAATTTAAAAATACAATTAGTATTGACGTGGAACCACTATTTCGTTTCTAAGGTTTGGAGATAACTATAAACAAATAGAATGACTCTTTCATTTAGTATTTTTTAAGGCAATCTGTTTATAAATTATCAGGGATTTTTCATATAATTCTTTTTGCAATAATAATCCTTTTAAATCAGTTTTTTATGACCAATTATTATCGCTTTTTAGTGAATTAAACAAAAAGAGTCTCATCAATAAGAGACAACTTTCAATCTCTCACACAAAACGAAAAGGTGCAAACATATAAGAACATAAAATAAAAAACAACAACTCATGAGCACATCTCATTGGCTTTCTTTTCTAAGTAAACGTGAAGACATATTGAAAGATGAAGAAGTGATAAACCCTTTCGTTTATGACGAAAAATTAGGAAAATGGGTTAAAAGTACCAAAGCCCAATATTCGAACTCTTGTCCACCTGAATTTGACGCTCAGATGCCACCATCAGTTCCATTAAATTTTCGTTACAACAAAATAGTTCCTAGTGTCAGAAGAGATCGTTATATAGATCCTTTTACGGATCAAATTCACCACTGTACTCCTCCTCTTGTCTTTCCTAATTAAATTAATAATAATTTAGTTATTTTCAAGAATCACAAAAATACTTAATATAGCTTTTACGGTATGAGAATCAAAGGAATAAAACAGTGAGAAAATTGGAAAAAAAGAACAAAAACTAAATTGGGTAATCATAATTACTAAATTCAATCTAAATGGAGGACCTTCCTGATATTGAATACAAACATTTTCCAATACTTAGCCTATCTGACATTGATCTATACACCAGTTCTGAAGATACTCAAGATAAAGAACAAACAGATAGTACCGAAGAATTAAGTGATGATGAAATTGATTTAGAAGAAATGAACAGAACTTTTAGTCGAGTGTCACTTCAAGGCACAACAACATTTAGCAATGAAATAAACAAACAACCTTCCCTATTAAAGATTAAAAAAATGTCATCAGCCCTCCAAATGGGTAATGAAATCATTGAACAACAAAGAAGACAAACTGAAAACAAACTTAGTTTAACAACAGAAAAAAGTTATGAAAGAATTGAAGATAATAAACTACAAATAAATAATGAAGAAGATGTAAAAGAAGAAAAAGAAAGTGATGAATGTTTAAATAATGTTTGTTATTCAGTTGGCACTATTGGAAGTGCTGCTGCCATTGAGTCAAATGAAGATATAGATAATATCATTGATATTATTGACACAGCAAATAGTCCTAAATTTTCACTAAGTGATTTTATAAAAACTCAACTTTCTACAGAAGATATAGTCTCTGAACTAAATCAATGGCATGGAGAAGATGACAAGTTTTATTTAATAATATCAGAATTAAACAGTATATATTTTAGTTCATTTCTTGTTCGTTATTTAGGTGCCTTGAGACCATTATTAGATTTTACTCCACGTAATACTCTCAGTCATTCTATTAAAAACTCTTTACAAAGAATTTCTGCTAAAATAACATCTTCTCCACGTTCTAATTCCCCTTCACCTTCAGAACTTACAGAAGAATACTGTATTAAACTATTACAAAATATCAAAGATATCCAACAACAAGAGATTCTTGAAAATTTAATTTCACTTAATAAAGGAAGAGAATTACTTAGTTTTGCCTCTAATTATCAAATGAAAGAAATTCCATCATCTCCATCTGATTGTGCATTGATGTTATTATTTGTTATTAACGAATATAATATGGGTTTTTTTACTCCAACACTACCAAGTAAACCTGATTATAATAAACTTCAAATGAATGAATTACGTGCAATGATTCTTTCATTGTCAAAGAAACAAAAAACTATCATTGAAGGAATATTAGAATTATCAGATGTTCCATACATTCAAATCCTCGCTCTTTTTGGTTTGTTTAATTCTGGACAAAGTGCAATGGAACGAACAAATGCTCTTCCTCAAGCATGTTGTATGTATGAAGTATTAATGAATAGAAGAATTTATTTGATGGAGGGTGTTATTAATGGTATTTCTATTGCAAATAAACAAATAAATTTATGTACATTACAAGCACTAATTAATAAAATGTCTATTCTTGATGATAAAATGCTGACTATTATTTGTCAAACTCATTCATTATTTTGTGATTCAGAAGAATTTATTGAAAAACTTCGAACACGTCGTTTTTATCATTCTATTGAAATATACAGAAATGTTTTTAAAGATATCGATAAAGAAATAAACATTCCTTTGCCAATTACAGTTGAATCATTATACAACATACTTCTTCCTTATCTTGATAGTCCAAAAGTATTAGCCCAAGCAATTACAATAGTATTTAGTAATGCTCTTTGTTTAATTAATCCAGTTGATTTTATTGTAGAAGAAAGTAAAGGAACAATGTTCTATATTCAAACAGTTGATTTATTCCAACAAACATTATGTCACATTTTACAAACTAAACCTTCTTCTGTTAAACACATTATCGCCTTAGGAAAAGAACTAAAAGACCTTAATAATTTTGAAGGGGCTGGTGCTGTTGGTCTAGCAATCTCTTGTAGGTGTAGTGATGCAGAACTTAAGAAATTAAAATCAAAATATAAACAAATTATTACATCATTAGCCACTATGTTTAGGGCTCGAACAAATGTTTATACTAAAATACTTAATGCAGCTTCCTTTCCTAAAATTCCTGTTTATGCTTTCTCTAAAAATGTTGTAGAAATGTCAAAAGCAAAACCAACTTTTTGTGAATTTTATCCAGATTACATTGATTTTGGTGGTAAATGTTTACCAATAGGAAATATCTGTTATTTATATAAGTGTTGCCAAATGAACCCTTATCAAATTAAACTTAATGATGACGTTTTACAAAATATAATTGATAAGTGGATTGGTTTTCATTAAATTATTAATGAAAACTATCCATTTTTCTTCATCAACAATATTTTTATCTTATTATAATTCACTTTTTTTGTTGATTTTCATGAAGTTAATAATAATTATTAACTCTTATCACAAATTTTATAATTAAAAAAATTATTTTTTATTGTTTTAACTTCTAAAAATCAAAGACTTAAAAATAATAGAAAAATCACTAAAAAGAACTTTAAAAATTACTATGTTATTCGTGTTATTTATCTGTTCACTTTGTTCTGCTTTAAATGTTAATGACTTAACAAAAAATTCAAATGAAGCCAAAGACAAAATCAGTGCTATGTCTCTCTTTGTTAAAGCCAAAGTCACACAATCTGTCAATGACATTAAACAAGCCATTAAAATGATAAAATTGCTTTTAAAATGACAGTCAAATCAATTAAGCATGATACAAGTTTGGCATTAAAAGAATTTATTGAAGCCAAAAAGGCTAACAAAAATGCAACTGACCTTGTTGATATTTCCACAAAAACAAGAACCGCAGAAAAAGAAGTTATTGAACAAATGACTAAATTACATAACACATTTGTCCAAACCCTTACTAATACTAGTGCTGGTGTTAAAAAAGCTGGTAGAGCAAATAAAATTGAGGCTAAAGTCTCTTTGGTTGGTGTAAAAACAATTGGTGAAAATCTTGCTAAGCAACTTAATGTTGCAAATGCTACTGATGCTCAACTTCAATTAGTCTTTACAACTGCTAGTTCTGGTTTAAAGAATTTAACTTCTCATATGGCCAATGCTACAAAGGGTCAATTAAAGGCTATTAAGACTGCTGTTGATTTTGCTCGTCTTGGAGAAGTTAAAATGTTAGAGTCATACAACAATCTATATGTATTGTATAAATCATCACTATCTCAAAGTCTTTTCGTTAACCAAACTCAACCAAAGACTCCATCTGAAAGGGCTGAAGCAAACAAAAAAGCTAAAGCTGCTTTAAAGAAAGACATCTCTGATCTTAAGAAAATAAGAAGGGTTGTCAGTAAAGATCTTGTTAATAACAAAGTTACTAAGAAAAGTACTAAGAACACCGAAAAAAAGAATGGCCTTAAAAAGGTTTCTTTAACACCAAAGGCTAAAAAATGTGTTTCTGCCTTAAAGAAATAAATTATTACTTTTAATTTTTTTCTTGTTATTTTATTTTCAAACTAATAAAAAATAATTATAAGAAAAAGTAAAATTATTTTTTAAACTAATTCTTCATCATAACCACGTAACTCATTATAACCATTTTTGTTTACTTTCCAATGGATTGACATAACACTTTTTCTATAGTTACGTTTAGAATCAGTTTCAGGAAGATTTTTAGAGTCATCTAATAATCTCTTTTTAATTAATAAAACACCTTTTTTATAAGAATCAGATTCAGATGTATAAATGATTTCATCGATTCCAATACCATCAACACAAGAAAAGATATAGTTTAAGAGACCAACAACAAAATTGAATAATCTTCTATAATCAAAACCAAGGGAGAATACAGTTAATACCATAATACAAAATATACAGATTGGGAAAGTATCATTGAAACTATTTCTTCCAAAGAAAGGAACTTTTTCCATTCCTTTATTAACTATTTGGAATGCAGTTTGTGTTTGAATAATTGGATATTGAGTAGAAGAGAAATTAATCATATGGATAAAATTCATTGCAAGAGCAGGACCAACTCTTGATAAATAATTTCCTGCAAATATAATAGAATATGAATCACTTAATTGATGTTTAGTAATTCTAAAGAAAGATATCATTTCTATATTAATAAATGAAGAGAAAGCAAAAAATATCATTAATGATAAGATGAGTAATGTTTCTATACCAACCCAACCACTTAAATCATTATTAAGTAAATTTGAAGTAATATTAATAGTAGGATTAATAGTTTTTAATTTTCCTATCATTGTTAATTCAGGTTGAATAACAAAAATCCAAAATATAAGAATAAGTAAAGTTTTAAAAATATTAGTAATCCATCTCCCATATTTATAATAATAATATTTAATTTTTGGAATTTGTTGAATTAATTCAGGAATATCAGTTTCATTTTCAATTAAAAATAATTGTTTAGTTTTTGTAATTGTCTTTTCATATAATTTTTCATCACGAATAATTTTTCTTAATGAATCTTGTAATTTTTCATTTGATATTGCTAATTCAGTATAATTATTTTTTACTTTATTTGATGAACTTGTTTCATATTTATCATTATAATATTTTTTAATATCATTTATACATTTATTAACATATGGTCTTAATGGATCTTCTTCATTAATTATTTCATCATATCCTTTAATTACTTTAATTTGTTCATCTAATACTTTTTTTGATTCTGTCATTCTAATATTATATAATCCAACATCACAAATATTTTTTCTTAATTCTAATTTATTTGTAAATGTACGTATTGTATCATAAATAAACATAATATATCCATTCCCCATTAATCCAATAGCTAATATTAATCCCCATGCATTTGATAATGTTAATGCAAATCCAAAATATTCTTGTCCACTTGTAATTAATTCATCTCCTTTAAAGACCCAAAATAATATAAAAAATAATATAAGTAATATAATTAATGTTCCATAAAATATAACATTTCTTTTAATACTTCTTATTAATTTTTTAATAAATGTAAAATCTCCAACAATACTATATGTTTGAATTATTGGAAATATTAAATAACATAATCCAAATTGTAAAATATAAATAATCCACCATATAATAATTAATACTTTTTGATTAATATATAAAAAATCTTTTTCTGATTTAAATGTTGATACTATATCTAATGGCATTAATAATGGACTTAAAAATGCTAAATACCATCCTATAAATGAACTTAGTACAACATACCATCTTGTTTTTAATGGATTAATATATTTAAAAAGAATTCCAAATGCCATAATTCCTGCTAATATAACAATTAATATAATAGATACCCACATTAAACTTATTGTTTTGATTTATTATTTATCTCTCTTTAAGTTCTCTCATCTTTTTTTTATTTGTCTTTTGTTATCTTTTATTAAAATTTGTTATATTTTATATTGTTTTTTTTTTTTTTTTGATAGAATTATTGTTCTATTAGAATTTTCTTTTTTATTTTCTTTCTTCTTTTCCAATTTTTTAAATTATTCTTCTCTTATATTTGTTATTTCATTCATTCTCTTAAAGTATTTGATCTTCTAATTCATTCACTATGGAACAACGAAAAACACACAGAAAGACTCCAAAAGGATTATACATATCTCGTAAGAAACTTGTTAATACTTCACCAAAAGATTCAAAATGGAACAAACTTGAAGAACTTCGGAAAGAATACCAAAAAGCAAAGACTGATATCAACAAACGACAAGCATCGATTGTAGTAATTAGTGGAAAAGACTTAGAAAAACAACGAAAAGAAAAGAAAGAAAAAAAAATTAAAACACAAAAAAATAAAGAAAAAGAAGGTAGAAAGAAACGAAATATCAATAATACAAATGCAAAATGTATTTCACAAGAATTATATGACAAGATTGAAGAAGAAGAAGAAAAAAAGAAGTATATTGTTAGTTCATTAGCAATGTATAATTTAGGAGAATATTTTAGTAATAAACAAGAAACACTTATTCCAAAAATTAGAAGATCAAGACATAATAAAGGAAGAAAAGATAAAGAAATTAATAAAGATAATATAGAAGAAATAATGAATAAATATAAAGAAATTAAAGGATTTACACCATATGTTAAAAAGAGTATTAGTGAAATAATAGAGAAAGGAAAAAAATATGGAGTTAATGAAGAAATAATCATTAAAGTTATAATGAAGAATTGTGGAAGTTATTTTGTTAAAAATTTAGGAAGAAGATGTTCTAAATATATAAGAAAGATGAAAGAGAAAGAAGAAGAAATGTTTAAAGAGATTAATGAAACATATCAGAAGAAAGAGAAAGAAATAATAATACAAGAGAAATTAGGAAAATATTTTAAATTTAAAAAAAATTATAATAATTTAGAAATTGTTATTAAGAAATTAAAATCAGCAGTTGAATTTCTTAATAAACCAGAAAATGTAGTAAGAAAGTTTGGGAAAGTTAGAGAATATGAAGAAAGTAAGAATGAAATAGATGAAAGTATTAAAAGAAATATAGAAAATATTATTAAAGAAAAAGAAGAAGAAATAAAAGAAATGGAAAAAGCTATTAAAGAATATTGGAAAGAAAATGAAGAAGAAAATTTAGAAAATTATATTGAATTTAAGAATTATAATATTATTGGAATCAGAAAAAGAGAAAGAATAGAAAATAAAGAAGATATTGATATTAAGAAAAATATTTATAAAAAAATTAAAGAAGGAAAAGAAAAAATAAAAGATATTTGTAAAGAATATAATATGAAAAAAGAAATTGGAATAGAAGAAGATATTATTGAATATGGATTTGCTAAAGGAGAAGTTGTAACACTTACTTATAAATATCCAAAAGAAGTAAATGAAATAATTGATAAAGCATATTCATATTTTGAACAAAAACAAAAAATTAATAAATATGGAAATTTAGCAAGAAAAGAAAAAATAGAAGAGATGAAAAGAAAAGTAATTTGTATCACATTCTCTACAAATGAAAAAACAAAGGAATTTGAAAAATATTCAAAAGTTGTTGGAATTAAATTAACTAAAAAATGTTGTTTTTCATATCCAGGTAAAATTCAATCAATTGTAGGATTATATTTATGTAAAGAAATAGAAAATAAATTTAATAAGAATAAATATCATTCATGGAGAACATTATTTGATAGTTGTTATGTTTCATCTAATAATATTACATATTTATTATTTGATAAATATTGTAATCGATTAAGAAGGATTATCAATGAAAGGTATTCTAATATTGATGATATTACAAAAGGTACTGCATATATTTCTAGTAATACAGTTATTAATGAAGTAATTAAAAAATATCCAATGAGTAAACTTGAAGAAGCATGGGATAAAAATCAATTAGAAAATTTAGTTGATGAAGTGAGAAAACCATTAGTTGATAGAAGAATAGAAGAAATGAAAGTTGAAATCAATTCACATGTTGATATAAACACATTACTTGGAGAGGAAAATGAAACAGAGAATGAAGAAGATAGTTATAGTTCAGATTATTCAATGTAATTGAATAAAATGAGAATTTTTGTTTATTTTATTATTACAACAACATGAAAAATAGAGAATTTAAATTAACAAGAAAAGAATATCAATTTATCAAAACTTTTCATAAGATTATGATAAGATTAATATTAAATTTTTAACAAATAATATAAATTGATACAATTAAAAGAGAGAATGTTAAGAAATATATAAGATAACATGATTCTATAAAACAAAAATAATAAAGTAGAAAAACCAAAGAAAATGGTTTATTCATTTAAATAATATTAAATACAAAGAGAATATGAAAGATTATAAATTGAAAATAAACATACATTAAAATAATAATTACAAGAATAAGAGAAAATATAATATAAGTATGTTTTAATTTGATGATAATTTAATTAATTGTA